CCTCGGCGGGCCCCTGAGTGTTTAAACAGCAGCAGTTGGCGTAAACCTCCCGTAATGCAGCCTCATTTCTCTGGGCCCTCACACACACACACACACACACACACCTCAACAGGCACAAATGCATATGTAGGTCATGTGAAAGTATGATCGCATGGGCCACTATTCTAAAGCACGGCTTGTTTGGACATGTCTTTCAGTGGTGCTGTTCATTCAGCCTGCTTAGTTTTGTATGCTATTTTTCTAGCTGCGTGTGTGTTTCTGTGGGTCGTGCTGTTTATGTGTGTCCGTCAGCAGGTAGAGCTCCCCAGTCATGCCGCTGCCTCCTCCTCTGGGCACAATATATGCATGTCAACAGTCGGAGGACCACAGAGAGGGGTGTATTGTGAGCGCCGCATTTTGAGGGAGAGTAGAGTCGTTGTGGGTTTCAGGACCTCTGTTTATTGGTTTTTGAGTAAAATTGGTTGAGAGTGACCCTGGGTCAGAGTGCTGGCCTCTGCCAGGCTAGGTTAGGTTTGCCTGGCTTTGGGTCACACTGCTTCTTTGTACGTACTCCAAGTTCAGGCTTGTCCTGGGTGACGGCCAGCTGCAAAGAAATGTGACTTCTTGACCATATTTGTCTGCTTGGGTTTAATGCCCATTTCTTTCTGAGAGTGCTTGACCACTATGTAATCCCAGCATAATATCCCATTCACTATTGTGTTCATGCTTGACCTAATATATTATATAAAACAGGGTGCTTTTTGTATTGCATGTTATCTTTGGATAATATATCTCTTGCCAGTGCCAGACAGACTAAAGTCTAACATTAGTGACCTCATCTATTCTATGACCACTCTTACATCACACTTTTGGAGCCGCTCTGTCTCATACTGAGGTAGGTGTTCAGTTAACCAACTGATTACTTTATAACTTGATGTTCTTTCCTGGGTTGGCTGTATCAGTTGTTTTAACAAGAAAAGTCTCTTTGAAACCGCATGCAGACACTGTGCACGGTGTCTGACTCGTGCAAACGCAAACATACAGTGATACCTCAGCAGGGGTAGGGGTGTGTAAAACTTCAGCTGTAGATATGAGCAGGAAATTAGCTGCAGATGTGGGTGTAAAGTAATGCAGATGGAGACAGGGAAACCCTCTTACCATGACACTAAGTCCACCTCCTGTCTTTTGGTCTGGCAAGCCTGAAAGGGGATCGCTTTGAACCATGACACTGCTGTGTGGCTACAAATCACCAAATGATCTCATCCTCAAAACTCTCTTTCTGATGCAACATGTGATCGTATCTTTACGTTTTTGATTCCTCACAAACACATTTCCCTTTTTCTAGCTGCATAAAACTGCCAGAGCCCTATAAAATGTATTTGTAGACACTGAGCTGGTCTCCAATGTTAAAAGGTTAATGAGCTACAATCAGTGCTTCAAGTTTGTGTTTAATTGATTAAAGCTGCTTTTACAATTTGTGACACCCTGGCGGGAGAGAAAAGAAGGTGAAGAAAGAAACTCCTGTTTGACGGTCTTTTGTTTGATGAAGCTTGTCTCAGCTCAGCACATACCAAACTCATTTGTCTGATTTCCTAGTCAGACTGGGAGGAGGAAAAGAAGCAGGAGGCAAAAGAGGTGTAGATTTTCATGAGGATTCCTTGGCTGCGGTGAAGCACTCCATTTATGGCTCTGATTAATTGCTTTTCATATAAATCATTGGTACAGGCCTGGGGCATTGCTCTCTACCTCGAGGTGTGTGAGACAGGAGTGTGCACAATTAAGGGAAGGAACAAGGTTAGTGAACTTTATTATGGACTCAGTGACTCTGACAGAAACACACAAATCTGTGTGCATGCAGTTGTGTGGCCTCAAAAGAGTGAGTGATGCTGTATCATTGATGGGCTGGGGATGATAATAGTTCTGCAGAGTATTGTGTAATTGTATGTCAGGCCCTGTGGAGATATGTGTTTATTTAGTTTAGATGATTGAAGCTGCATAATAGTTTACACTGGGGCAGCTTGTTATTCAAATGAGGTTGAGTAATTGTCCTCTCCTGCTTGTTAAAGTTTGGGTTCACTGGGAATGCTGCGCTGTAGTAGATTGCTTTCGTATAAACAGTGACCTCTGCGCATTCATTAACAAACACAGTGCAAAACAACAGATTAAAATGACTCAGAGCCTTTTCTCACTTGTACAGTTTACATTTTGTTGAGGTTCTCCCTCGTCGTCGTCACATTATTACTGGACGCACCTCTTAGTTTGTCCATTCATCTCCTTGTTTAGTTTTTGTTTTTCATCTTGATCTACCCATTTATATTTCTTTCCCTGACTTTCTGCTTCTCTCTGGCTTCAGACATTCTCTCTCAGAGCTGGGCCCCTCCATGCTGGCACCCAGACTGCTCCCCCCACCAGCCCCGCTGCAGTCAACGTCTCAAAACATTAAATACCATCCTTTTGCTTCATCTGCACCTAATTTTCTTTCGCCCCTCCCTTTCTCCCTCCTAACGCCTCTCATTTTTCACACCTCAGATTGCAGCCAAGTCTGTCTGCTGAAGTTTCTATGCGC